TCTCCCTCCTCGGTCTCTCAATCTCCCAATCTCTCCCTCTTAAAGAATGCTTTAACTCAAAAGCTCACATTGGTTTCTTTACAAGTCATCGAACATAGAATGACAGGGTTGGACAAGGCCTTGGAGGTCTTCTACTCTGACCCTCTACTCAACCAGGAGACCCTTTACCATTTCAGCCAAATGGTTGTCCAATCACCTGGACATGGGACTATCTGCAACTTCTAAGGCAAGCTATTCCATTGATTTCATTGTTCTCATTGTTAGGAAATTTCCCTTTCCTTTTAGCTTGGTTCTCTCCTTGATTAGCTCCCATCCATTGCCCATCCTTCTCCTGCTTTCTGGTGGTTTGGAAAATTAGTTGACTCCCTCTTCTTTGTGGCAACCCCTGAGAGATTGGAACTCTGCTATCGTGTTACCCCTAGTCCTTCTTTTCTCTAGACAATCAATCAATCAATCAATCAATCAATCAGAATAGAGCTGGAAGGGACCTTGGAGATCTTCTAATCCAACCCACTGCTCAAGCAGGAGACCTTAAACCATATTTCAGACAAACAGTTTTCCAATCTCTTCTTAAAAACCTTCAGTGACCATTTTTGAGGGGAAAATTAATCCACTGATTAATTTCTCTTTCGTTCTAGGTTGCTTCTCTCCTTGATCAGTTTCCACCCCTTGCTTCTTGTTCTACCCTCAGGTGCCTTGGAGAATAGTTTGACTCTCTCTTCTTTGTGGCAGTCTCTCAAATATTGGAACGCTGCTAACATGTCACCCCCAGTTCCGTGAGGGTGAATCTATGGCACGTCTGCCACAAGTGGCACACAGAGCCCTCTCTGTGGGTATGTGAGCGGTTGCCCAAACTCAGTTCCACTGTGGATGCGCCATTCTGCCAGCCAGCGGATTTTCGGGTCTGCCATGCATGCGGAGGGGGCGGGTTGCATTCGCGGGGTGTGGTGTGCCCGCCCCCCCCGGGGCCTGTTTTTGCTCCCAGGAGGCTGCAGGGAGGCCTAATAAACCCAAAACGGGCCTGGTGCGTGTGCATGCAAGGGGGAGGGAGTGGGGGGGTACACATGCGCAGGGGGCGAGGCACGTGGGGTGTTGCGTGCGCATTGTGCGTGCAGGCGTGCACACTCTTTCGGCACGCGACAACAAAAGGTTTAGCCCTCGCTGCCCTAGTCCTTCTTTTCATTAAAGTAGACATACCCAGTTCCTGCAACCATTCCTCATATTTTTCAGCCTCCAGTCCCCTAATCCTCTTCTCTGCCCTCCTTTTAGAGTCTCCGCAAGTATTTCTCAAGACGTAACTAACGCATGCATGCGAATGAAGAGGCCATTTCTGGAAAACCTCTGAACGTTCCCAGGAGAAGCAGACAATAGATGCCTTCGGTTGCCCCTTCCAGAGATGGATTCATGGGGCCAATACTAGCCAGCGCTCGCCAATCTCTGCCAAGTTTCTAAATCCACCTAATTTCCGCATTAATTCATTCTTCTCCTTATATATACATTGGAAAACACAGATAACTCTCCTGGAGTTTTTAGTGTTGGAGCTCATGAAAATAGACGCCTAAGTGAAGAGAAAAACCAAGTGGGTTTGGGAGCCCTTGGAGAGAAAAATGGGATGGACTCTCCTTTTTTTTGCACGCGGGATAACTTTGGAAACCAGGTTTCCCAACTTTGGCAACTTCAAGATGGTTGGACTTCAACTCCCAGAATTCCCCAGCCAGCATACGCTGGCTGGGGAATTCTGGGAGTTGAAGTCCACCCATCTTGAAGTTGCCAAGGTTGGGAAGCACTATTATAAGCCTTAAGGGAGAGTAGAGAGTGCTCCTCACCCGGAGGAAGGAATCAAGGGCGCAGTTTTCCATGAACTCCGTAACTATCATGACGGGCCGACTCTTGGTGACCACGCCTTCCAGATGGATGATGTTGGGGTGGTCAAACTGTCCCATGATGCTGGCTTCGCTCAGGAAATCCCGCCTCTGCCGCTCCGTGTAGCCCACCTTCAGCGTTTTGATGGCCACAAAGATTTCCCGCCTGCCCGGCAGTTTGAGGCGGCCCCGGCAAACTTCCCCAAATTCACCTGCGGAGGAAGGGAGAGGCAAGAGTAGCAAAGGAGACCCCGACATCTCCTGCCCTCCTGGAGATGCTCCGAGGACAGCCAGCTGGGCTGCCAGCTGGGCGACTTGCCTGCTCCAATCACTTCCTCGATTTTGACGCAAGAAATGTCAATTTCTTTGGCAAATTCCCGGACAGCTTCGTTAGGGTCTTCGTAAGTGAAAGGGTCAACATAAACCTTCATTCCTGGAGTAACTGCAAAGTGAGAGATAAGGTTTGGGTAGGTGAGAGATAAAGGCTGTCTGCTAGCATCTGAAGAGGCCATATTTAAGGTTCATTTGTGTTAAAGGCCTCCATCTCCAGATAGATAGATCGATTGATCTATAGAGGGGGGGAGAGATATAGACAGACAGACACATGTAGGTAGGTAGGTAGGTAGTTAGGTGGGTAGGTAGATAGATAGAGGGGGGAGAGAGATATATACAGACAGGCACATGTATACAGATAGGTAGGTAGGTAGGTAGGTAGGTAGGTAGGTAGGTAGGTAGGTAGGTAGGTAGGTAG